TTACTATTATTTTAGGATATCCTTGGGGATGGTGGTCGTGCTGCAATTCAAACACAAGTCTCTATGAATAATCCTTTTGGATCAACTTTGGTTTATGGCTACAAAACGTGGCTTTTGATGAAGATATTGGTCATATTGAGATTCATGATTCTTGTGAAAATATAGCTGGGTTTAGTTTACTAATAAGTTTTTTCTATACACCCGTGGTAATCATTTGCTTTTTATAGGTTGTGTAGAATGGGTATATAGCAACTGTGACCCTATTCCAATTGTAAGGTATGACTTATGCATCATGGTTTGGGTAAAATGCTTCAATTTGTCACTATGCTTGTTGGTTATAATAATCAATTTAGCTTGGTTAATGCAGTACATTTGAACTTCCAATGTTGATTTTGATTTTTTCATGAATTTCATAGTTGATATTAAATGCATGCTCTTGTACATTTAACGCATTCTTCTTGGATAATTATTACACTCCAATTTTTGTATACTGCGATACACTGTGATCCGGGATCTCATAGAACACAACTGAGTTTATTTATTGTACGCTATAGTATGTTAAATCCATACATCAACCATTCATCATCACTCCATTTATGAAAATACGAAGCTGCTTTCTATGAAATTTCCTAAGGAGATAATTAATTTTGTTTTGCTTTTGTGTCATGATAATGATACAACTCATATTTTTTAATTGTTGGTGCTTCTATTTAGACTATCCAAGAAGTACTATTGCTATCATATTCGATATGTAGGTTGCCCTGCACTGATTAAAAAGATGACATTAGTTATCTACTTAGCTAAATGTGGTGGCAGTGTTGCATCGGTTATTCATGATTTTGGAGAATCTTAACTTCTGGAACTGGTAACTGCATAAAATACCACTATCATCACCTCTGAGACTTTTCCCATTAGAATGGAGTCATTTGGTGCATGAGCCTTAAGTTTTATGACTGATTGTCAACCTGATTCGACTCTCAAAGCATGCACCAAATTTTTGGAAGGGAGATTACTAACTGGTCACAAGCCATGGCGTTCGCCACTATAAAAGCTAGTTGTTACTTGTTAGGGAGGAAGACCTATCTTATTGGTTTTGCAAATTGCAATTTTAATTCAAAAATTGGTGCATGCAATGTTCCTTCTTTATTTTGAAACATCTTGTAGAATGGAATTTCTTAAAATTTTCTTGAATTTATGAAATTTGAGGGGAATGTGTTAAAAAGTGTGATAGGAATGAAGTAGTTGTATCTTCTTTTATTTTTCAATGAAAATCTAAGAAATTCAATGGGCTCTTATGGAAAAGATATATTCGCTTGTCTTGCTTTCATGTCCCTCAGCAACTCTAGGGGGGGCGCTTTCGTAGGAATTTATAGATAAATATTGATGAGCTAATATTTCTTTCTTATATGATACGGGTGTATCTTCTTCTTTGTTTCGGGAGCTTAGCGATCCTCATGGGAGCTTGAGGATAGACGATTCTCATGATAGCTTGAAAATAAAAGCGTCAGGTTGAAGCGTGAAGCGAAACGGCGGAGCGCGAAATCGAAGCGTGCAGTTTTCAGTTCATAAGTCGACTTAAGGTTTGCATAAGACGACTCATAAGTCGACTTAAGGTTTGCATGAGTCGACTTACGAAACTCACTCCAGTTATCAAAAAGTTTCTGCTGAGTCGACTTATGAAAGCATAAGTCGGCTTACGGGGGTCGTGCACTTTTGTGCACGTTTTCGACTGTTTATAAGTCGACTTACGGCCCGTAAGTCGACTTATAACGGGTTGGGTTGTTTTTCCAGGTTCTTGCTGGGATTTGGTTTCTAGGGTTTGTATAAATTAAAACCCTATTATTTTGGGATTTCCTAACCAGAATTTGGGGAGATTTGATATTAGAGAGGATTGTTCTCTATTCTAAAGAGATTGTGAGAGAGATTTGTAAAACAATTGATACTCATAATCTAGAGAATGTATTTTCCTTCGCCAAAACTGAATTGTCTTGTGTTTTCTATTGTCTTCTTCTCAACCCATCTTTGATAATTCCGCGATCAAATGTGCTCGCACGACGACTCGTATCGTTATATGATCTCCAAATATATTTGTGACTTTTCCTATCTTGTGGAGAAGAAGAAACATATTATGAAGTAGAATAGGTCTGATCTGAGAACACATTGAAGTAGAATATTTTAAGTGTAAAGCCTGAGAGGTGGTTTCTTTTAAGGAAATCTCATAGATCTTGTAATGTACTGTGCACTAATTGGCTTTTAATCATTGTATTTTATCTTGTACATGAAGGTGGGGATTTGTATGGGTGCGGAATGTTCAATACTGCATTTTCCCTATTCAATCCTGTAGCTGGAAGAATCCTTTGTATAGAGAAACCATTATGCTATGCTTGCAATTACAACTTGTAATTATCTGTAAATAGTTTGCACTCAATGAAGAAAAATATGTCCTTGCATGGTTAGGCAATGGAAAGGTCCAGAAATTAAATCCATTTGAGAGACTTCTCTCGTGGCATAAATGAAATAATCTAATTGCACTCTTGGTTTTTGTTTGCATTTTTTTTTTGATCGAATTTCCACGTTGGAGACTTGCCTTTACTATACGCAGTGAAGGGCTGAAGAGAGAGAGCTGAATGGTGCTGTAGATGAAATATATATCTAAAGAGCGCCAACCAAAGAAAACGAATGCAGTGCCCCGGTTACCTTTGGTAGATGTTACTACAAACTTAGTGTATGCGAATTCTGCATTTACATGTCGACAGTCGCTTCAATGGATTTATATATATATATATATATATATATATATTTTTTTCCCCACCAGTTATCATTTGTCATTATCATCTTCTTTGATTTTTCTTTTTTATTGTGATCATGTTGTATATTGGACAGGTCTAGCAAGTAAATGAATACGCAGTGGGGATTTTTTTTAATCTGCAATGTCCTGGCAGAAAAGGAGAAAGTCAAAGGTGAAATACATGTGGTGGATGGTCCCACGCCAGTCAATCCAAGATTGCTTGCGATGCCGGTCTTTGTTCTGACATCCATGAGACAAAGATACATACTGTGCTAGCCAATCATTCAGCGAGTGAAACTGGTTAGTTTTCAGTTGGTTGCTTCTCCATGCATAAAGTTGTGCTTTGTAGTTGCATCCGTCTTTTCTCTCTTTTATGATCCATGATCCTCTGCAGCTGATATCTCTACTTTGTTCGATCGGGCTGATGGATGGGGAAATAAACAACGGCATCTCAGACTTTTGCTTCTTGCAAGCAAAGTCGCTGGATTTATGACTGCGTGGAGGATAAAAGGGCGCGTGGGTGGGCGGTGGGTTGTTGCTGAGAGGATCTGAAAGACAAAACTTTATGTCACGGTTCTTTTAATCAAATCTTGCTGCTGAAAAATTCTTGTTGGCTCCCTTTTATGCACCCAATAAATTCAACCGCATGCTTGAGATCAACACTGTAGACTTTTGTGCGAGTGTTAAAAAAAAAAAAAAAAGCGCTGCACCGGGCTGTGGGTGGCTCCGCCTTTATTGTTGGAAGTTAATGCTTGCGAGTTCTAGGCATGTGAAGTTGTGAATGAGCCTAACCACTTGTTGGTGGTTCATCAAGATTGTATGCAGTGTTGTTGATCTCTTTTATGCCACATATGGAAATGTACAAGTAACCATTCCGCCGAGCAAAACACATTCCGCGGCGGAGGACATTAATGACAGCACATCTCTAGGGTCTAAAAACATCAAGGGCCAAGGCTGAAATGTGAAGTACGTGGATGCTAGTTAGGTTTATACGAGGATGCTAGTTCGGAGTTCGCACTTAAAATTGGAGTTGATTGATGATGTTATCTTGATCAAGAATTGACTGATTTGTCGGCAAGATTTCTTTATCCGGAGCACCGAAGCAAACTTCGTACCCTAAACAAGGGAAATGCTGGTCCGAATTATTCATGGTGTCATCAATACTGTAATATTGATCTTGCAGCACGGCCCATGCTGATCTGCGCCCTCAAGATTCAAGTAGTACGGAGAATTGGTCAAGGGGGCGGGGGAGTACTAGTTAGTGTTCATTGATTTTTTTTTTGGGGGGCCAAATCACTACGACTTCACCAAAGTGCCAAATATTTGTTTCCTTGATTAGGAGGGTCCAAATCAATATTCACCTCGCAAAACTCATTACAAAAATGTTATGGACGTATATATAGATTGTTTGTTTGGTTTTGGAACCATCAACGTTTGATGATGATTGCAGGTTAATAGTAGTTTAATCACGCTGTTACGTGGACTCAATTACGCTAGAGCCAAATTTGGAACACGGGTAGAGATTCTCATCCCGTTGGACCGACGACCCCACATGTACGTCTTTATGCTCCGAATGTGACCAATGGGGCCGATCGCTTTTTTCTTGCCCTCTTCTAATTTTACCTTTTTTTTCTTTTAATCATATGAATGAAGCTAAAGGGATTAATACCATTCGTTAACCATACGAGGTTGTGACTTGGGCTTGTGGCCAATCTATTATTTATCGACTAATAAGAGGAACCTGTTGTAATTAAGAGGACCATATAAATTATACTTGCAAAAGCAATAGATCTCTTCTTTTATGAATCTCTTTTTATTCATTTTTTTCCCCTTCCAATTAGGCTAGAATTAATATCTCCCTTTTATTAGTTAAGTACTTAGGTATTTATGTTTTGCGCAAGACTTTTAATCTTAGAGGGGGAAATTTGTGAATTTGGCGGTTAGGCCCACCGGCACTGTAGCTAACAGTGGTGGGCTCTGAACTGAAGCCTAGTAGTTACCGCAACATGTGATGCTCTGACATTAACGCCATCGCCATTGGAATCAAACAATCTTGTTCAATCAACCAACCTCCCTCCTCCCTCCCCTTTTTGATTTATCTTTCACGTGATCTCTTTAATCCTTTCCCCTCTCCTACATATATATACTACACATATATATGCGGGTATCGCATTGTGGCTCCAAACAACCACACACATACCCGCCAATGAGACCCAGGTCACCTCCTTACTTGCTAGTATTCTCACTGCTCTCTCTTCATCTGTTGCTAGCATTGGGTAGCCATGACTACCATGATGCACTGGCCAAGTCCATTCTCTTCTTCGAAGGCCAGCGGTCTGGTCGCCTACCGCCGGACCAGCGGGCGAAATGGCGTGGCGACTCTGCGGTGAGCGACGGCTCGGATGTTGGTGTCGATCTTGAGGGTGGATACTATGATGCGGGTGACAATGTCAAGTTTGGCTTTCCGATGGCATTCACCGCTACTATGCTCTCTTGGAGCATTATCGAGTTTGGCGACTCAATGCCGCCAGACGAGCTTCGGAATGCCGCGGTGGCCGTTCGGTGGGCCACCGATTACCTACTTAAGACCCTCGCACGTCCTGGTCGGCTCTTTGTTCAGGCAAGTAGTGCAATTTGTGTGAATTGTACGTACAAATATATTTAGGGGATTAACACAACTTATTAAGATTCCCAACGATATGATGACATCCTTACACTGCCTGCACTGTTGTAATTGTGTGACGTGCCCTATCTTATGATGTACTCCCAGAAACCTTCAACACCACACCTACTTTTATCTCTTTCTATTATTATTCTCCTCCAATAAATAAACTAATGGTCAAATGTAGTCCTAAATTCACGATCACGGGTTTGTGATTAATTAGCTAAGTTAATGAATTTTGTCCACATACATGATGATAGGTAGGGGATCCTATAAGGGACCACAACTGCTGGGAGCGGCCGGAGGACATGGACACGGCCAGGACGGTGTACACGGTCAGCACTGACAAGCCCGGGTCGGAGGTGGCTGGAGAGCCTACTCGGATAAGCTCATGGAGAATGCAATCAAGGCATTTGAATTTGCAGATACTTATAGAGGAGCCTATAGTGATGATCCGGGGCTTAAAGCTGGGGTGTGCCCTTTTTACTGTGATTTTGATGGATATCAGGTAAAAACGGCAAGCTTACCTTTTGTTCTGAGTGTGATTTTGATTCTCTTATTATTAACAAAAAAAATAAAAATAATAATGCGTATAGATTTCACCTATACTATAGAGAGAAAGGATCCTTTTAAATGGGTGATGGTTTGGTGGATTCTTATCCTACCACTGTCTCGTAAGTAGAGAATGCCACTTTTCTAATTAGAACTTTCTCATCAATATTATCTTTTCAAATAGAGGTTTAAGTATTGTGATCGGAGAAGAGTTAGAATATTCAACTGTGAAGATGATCCAAATTCTGGTGGTGAGGATGGACCAAAAGTTGCAGCCTTAAAAAGGGCAGGGTGTTTTGGCAAAACATTAATACTTTGTGGTCATATCAGTATATGACAGGCGGTGTGCTTCTGGCTTAATTATTTCATTCGGTGGGGAATCTTGAAAAAGGCTTCACTCCTAGGGCTAAGCTAGGTTGAAAAGCCAAATGTCAGTATTAAGTTGCAACTTTGGAAATCGAAACATTTTTAGCAACTTTAGAATGCACTGACGTCGTGGTTCATTGGGCCGTGATTGATTCCTTAATTTTTGTTAATAATAAGAAAATCAAAATCATGTGTCTTTGACCCAGGATTGGCCCAACTTGTGATGCATTCTGACACGGTGGGTTCACAGGACTTGATAAAGCACACGCATAGACTTTGGCACTAGTGACGGCCACCCTGACTAGCTAGCTTGCTTGGTAATTAGTTGGAGAATTAAACAAATTAAGCTTATATTTTTATCTCAATCTCCGCATCATACTAAATAATAATAATATAGCCTCTGACGACAACTACAGCCTAGGTGTCCGAAATGGTACACGTCTAAGTGTAGGATATAGTTTGTCCTTTAGAGTGACTCCTCGTATTGAAATTTGCAAAGCATTGGATGCTATTGCCTATTGATTGACGACAACAAACGAGACATGCTCGTTCCGTCTCTATACGCATTTTGTTCGTTTGTAAAATCAAGAATAAGTAATTGCATGTCTCCAAATTATATAGTCACTTCTCTTTTTGTTTTTACTGGTGATACAAACAAACAATATTACAGGATGAGTTACTTTGGGGAGCAGCATGGTTGAGGAGGGCCTCAAGAAACGACACCTTCCTCAACTACATACAGAACAATGGGAAAACTCTAGGAGCTGAGGACAACATCAACGAGTTTGGTTGGGACAACAAGCATGCTGGCCTCAACGTCCTCGTATCCAAGGTCTCACCACAGCCTACCATATTACTACGTACTGAATTTTGTTGTACAAATTTCTAGCGTCTGATACCCCCCCAACCCAATCCTTGCCTTGATCTGAATTAGGAATTTCTTGACGGGCAAATATTTTCTCTGCAATCCTATAAAGAATCAGCAGATAGCTTCATGTGCACGTTGATCCCTGAATCATCTTCATCCCACATCCAATACACCCGTGGTGGCCTCATTTACAAGCCCGGCGGGAGCAACATGCAACATGTCACTTCCATTGCGTTTCTTCTCCTCACCTACGCCAATTATCTTTCCAAAACGTCACAGACTGTCAACTGTGGAAGTATTTCCATCGGCCCAGCTTCCCTCAGACTTCAAGCTAAAAGACAGGTTAATTATCACATAATATTCGGCCAACATTACGTTTAGATTCTACGTTAATTAACATTTATGCTAATAATATGAATTTGTTGCAGGTTGATTACATCTTAGGTGACAACCCGATGAAAATGTCGTACATGGTAGGATACGGAGAGAAATACCCACAACGGATCCACCATCGAGGTTCGTCGTTGCCATCAAAATCGGACCATCCTCAAGTAATTGGTTGCAAGGATGGCACGGTTTACTTCAACTCCACAAATCCGAATCCAAATCCGTTGGTAGGAGCAGTTGTGGGTGGACCGGGAGAGGATGATGTGTATGATGACGATCGTGCTGATTTTCGAAGATCAGAGCCAACTACATACATTAATGCTCCATTAGTAGGAGCATTGGCTTACTTTGTCGCTAGCCCTAGTCCTGGAGGGATTAACCTTCACTAACAACATAAGTGGTGTTCATATATATATGCATAGGAAATATAGTAGCATGATATATAAATAAATATATATATATATAGGCAGAGAGAAAGAGGTATGTATAGAGTAGAGGCTTGAGAGGCTTTTGTGTGGGATTTGTTTCTTGGACGGACCAAGCGAGTGTGTGAGTGTGGTTGCTTAATAGCAGGTTGAGGTGCCAAAAGTAATTCCGACCAATATTTATAGGGTGAGGAGTGAAAAATTAAGAAGGTGAAGTTTTGGTTTGATTTTCTTCATTTGTAATGATGAGTGGTATTGAATATTATTTTCCACATTCTCCTTTTTAGTGCTGTGTTCTATTAATATTTTTCTCCTCCAAGAGACATTTTCTTTAGTGGAGGAGCCGTGTCATATGTTCACGGTTTGGCCCAGTTTGAAAGAAGAATCCAAAGCTTACTATTCAAGTTTGAATTCTCAACCGACTTCAAGATTTGTTAGTATTTCCAAATTTCTCAAATCGATTCAGCAGAATTATAAAATTATAATGGATCCACATGTACTTACCACTTGGCAACGGATATATATCCTAGTATATATATATATTAGTATATGGATATGAGCAAAACTTCTGCAACTTAAGGGACGTTCGCCACTAAGTTTCTTTATCCATTATATTACTGCATTGACTATATTCGGTGGATGATCCGCTCCGTTAAACTTGCTTACATATTTCTAAAAACCCCAGAACGGACACCAATTTTGTGGTGAACTCGTTGTCGGTTCTGACACCCTCCGTCGAGATGTAAAGAAGTTCTATCACTCGAAACCGCTTAAAATTGATACGAGTGGTATGAAGGGTTCCAAAAACCACAACGATTCCACACCAAATTTCGGTGTGTTGAGTTTTTAGAATATGTAGATCAAGTGAACGGAACGCGATCATCACACAATATGTAGCTCAATTCAAGCTGATCATCAATGGATAAGAAACTTAGCTGGACGATCCACTTAAGTTGACAGAAGTTTTGCTCATATATGATACTAGCTATATGATATATATATACATATATATATATATAGACTATATAGTATAGTATATAATATAGTAAGAGATGTAGAGAGAGCAGAGAGAGAGGGTGAGAGAGGAGAGGAACTTAGTCAATTTAAGTTAGGATGGTCCACCAAAGTTTCTATCCACTCGATGTTGCTAGGGTCCTTGCATGATATGAAGAGATTTTTTAATATATATAAATGACGTTGGGATAGTAAACTTTGGTGCCGACAAACACAGATTTGTGTCCACTTAACGTGACATAGTTTCTACTCTCTCTCTCTCTCTCTCTCTCTCTCGTATACATATATTATATATAATATATTATATATATTTATATATATTATCATAGTTATATATATATATAGATATATAATGAGATGACGAACAATCACATAGTTCGTGCTACAAGCAAATTGTTACATATTGTTACTGTAGCATCTTGTTTGTTGCTCGTTAAAAAACAGCGGTGGCGCCGGTTTCCCGGCTGTCGGAGCCGAGCTTCGATCCCTGGACCGTGGTGGGGGCGAAGAGGAGGAGGATGAGTATTGAGGCCGACTCCTCCTCCGATTTTATGCCCGATTCTGAGCGCGTGGGGTGGACTGATAGCCTGCACATGCAAGAATCGCAGGAATACGTGGCTAGTTTCCCCCGTGGTACCTCCGACGGTCAAGTTAGTTGATGAACTTGGGGATGGTTTGTTGAGAGGCCCCTGGGTCATTGAGGTCCTTGCATGGGATTTTTCTTCTTGGAATTATTAAAATACAAAGGGGAGTAAAGCTAAGGTGCAAGAAGAAGTAGCCAGAGAGCTCCCCCGTCCTTACCTTCCTTACCTCCTTTTATAGCCCCCTTGCCTCTGGGAGTTTGACCCTCAACTTTTGTTGACTACGCACAGGAGGCGGTTTGAAAGGTGAACAGGCAGGCTGCTGAGTCATCTTTCTTCCTCCAGGTGTCGGCAGGCGATTGGGAGGGAAGTCATTCAGTGCCAAGGGAGAAAGGTCTTCTCAGCGCTTTGGGTTTGTCAGAATAAGCAGGGTGTAGGGTAGGTCGACTGCGTGGTCGTCCTTCTCTCTCCAAGTGGCGGCTGAGAATTGGAGAAGTCATTCGTGCACAAAGAAGCATCATGGTAATTTTCTGGGAAATGACTTGTAGGCCGAATAAGCGGCTGGTGCACGAGGGTTGTCAGAATGAAGATCTTGATGGGACTAATCAGTGCTGTTGTGTCGATTGACGTCTGAAATGATCTCGGTCGGTTCTTATCCCTTTGGCCGAGGCGGGTTGATCTGTGAGTCGTCATTATGAGTTGGCGACTCGGTAGTCGAGTCGTTTGCTCAAGGAGTTGTCTTAATTGCGAGGGGGCGACTGACCCCGTTCTTCGAGTCGGTCATAATGACCTGTCGATCGGAATAAGGCTTGTCTGCTCGTCTAGTCGAGGGACTTGACTCTGACTGGGCTTTTGAGCCTCTTAAGTTGATTCGGACCGTAGCTCGCTTGGGCTTATGCAGGTATTCTTCCGATATTTCTATTTTGGTGTGGTGACTGGCCATAACAATCTTCAAAGGAATATTACTACAACATCATTCCAAAAAATATTACCGTAGCATTTTAAAAAATATACTAGTAGCAGAGGGGTGATGCTGTAGTTTTTTAAAATATTACTATAGCATAAAAAATGTTGTAGTGTTTAACAAATACAGTACTGCAGCAATAAAAAAAAGATTACTGTAGCGATAAAAAAAAAGGGAAGGACATGCTTGGCAGGGGGGCACACTAGTATATATATTAACTTAGTAAGAATTTTTAGGTGAATATAAGATTAGGTGTCTGCATGTTATATTTTTATAGGATAAAAGAATATGAGTAGTGATAACTGCACTACTCTCAAACTACTAGACTCAAAATAGTGTGGTACAATAAAACTTGATGGCAATCCAAGTAAGACGGACCCCATACTTTTGTTTGTAGTAGTGCTAAAGTAATTTGAAGAGTGTAGTTCAGCCAAAATTATTCTATGTGGATATGTGGATACTTATAATATGACTGACACATGTTAACTTTTTATGTCTTTATAAATGATGTACACTATGCATTTTAAAATTTCACCAATTTATCTTTATATATAAAGGAGGGAAATGAGGGGCCATTTTTTACAAAATTGAAAAGAAAACTCGAACTGAGGGCTAAAGATGTATTATAGGTATAAGAAAGACTGAGCAAGGAATAAAGAAATATCAACAGCAACAAAATAAAAGAAAACTAAAGAGCTCATCATGCATGTTTGTGCTATCAAATAAATTAAATGACTTCGTTACATCATAAAATTCTAGAAGGGAATAACATTGACGTATAAAACACTGCAATGTCTATATGTATTATAAGTATAGTTTCTTCATACATATATATGTGCTTTTTCACTTTTTTTTCCCTCTCTTTTTTCTCTTAGAGAAAAAAGAGAGGGAAAAAAAGTGAAAAAGCACATATATATGTATGAAGAAACTATACTTATACTACATATGCTTAAAGTAGAACTAGGATAATTGGTAAAAAGAGATAATATTTTGACACTGGGATAATTTAGTGGAACAATGATGGGTAATTCTTAAAGTGAGATAATTTGGTAGGATAATTTAGTGGGATAATGATGGATAATATTATGAAGTTGCATAATTTGGTAGGATAATTTGGTGGGGGTAATGGTGGGTATAAATTACTATTGTTAATAATTGTATATTAAAAATAATATAATATTGATAAGCAAATTCTAGTAATAACTATAAAATATAATGCAATAAAGCATCACTATTCATCTCAAATAATAAAATAATTTACAAAAAAAATAAAAATCTAAATCCCTAGAGTGACTCGACTTCCATCATCCCACATGGCTTCTATCATCCCACATGACATCCGTCATAGAATTTCTCCAAGCTCCTACAGCTGCTCGTTGAGTATGTATCTCGTCTTCTTTATCGGAGTCATCGTCTGCATCAGCAACATTTCGTGGAGCTTCTAGTGGAGGATCATAAATGTCGAAGTTCAAATCTCATAACATCATAAAGAAAGAAAAATAAGCATTTTTCAGCTATTAACCCTTTGGACCAATCTCATCATGATCGTTGAAACCAAATTAGCAAATAAATGAAATGTACACAGGAATCATCCATGGCCGCTAAATAGATGATCGACAGAAGAACTATAAATATCCTAATCAATTTACTGAGCCGATTTAATAATAATAGATATCACCATTAACCATTCAACATCTAATCATTAATGTGATCGCAAAGTTGCTTTCTAACTTATAAAAAAAACATAAATAGCCCGCATATCTTTAGCACTAACCCACCAACACTATATTCTTAACCTAAACCACTGTTGTGGAGAGAAAACTTAGATCAAACAAATAATAATAAAGTAATTTAACGTCAAAAAGCTATCAATAAAGTAATACATCTTGAAGATAATAATAAAAGATCTAATCATCACAAAAACAAAGTAAAGACAGAAAAATGAACGGATGATTGACTTCATGCCAGAGAAATTTTCTAGGCGGAGAAACTAACCAAGAGGGAGGGAGGCGTCGTTTCACTTTTTTTTCCAAATTGTATTCTTTCCAATGCATGGGATAATTTGAGAGAGGAAAACTTATGGTTATATATATAGGTAGTATAATTTGTGGGATAATTATGAGCAATTATCCCAATTCTAATTCTAGTAGAATTCTACTTGACTAACGCACCAAAAACATAATACAATTCTAGTTCTACAAAAGTTCTACTTGACTAACACTATAAAAAAATATCATACTTCCTAGTTCTATGTGACTAACACCTTAAAAATTTATCCCACAAATTATCTCAGTTCCAGTTTTAAGATCTTTTATTATTATCTTCAAGATGTATTACTTTATTGATAGCTTTTTGACGTTAAATTACTTTATTATTATTTGTTTGATCTAAGTTTTCTCTCTACAACAGTGGTTTAGGTTAAGAATATAGTGTTAGTGGGTTAGTGCTAAAGATATGCGGGCTATTTATGTTTTTTTTTATAAGTTAGAAAGAAACTTTGTGATCACATTAATGATTAGATGTTGAATGGTTAATGGTGATATCTATTATTATTAAATCGGCTCAATAAATTGATTAGGATATTTATAGTTCATCTGTCGATCATTTGTTTAGCGGCCATGGATGATTCATGTGTACATTTTATTTATTTGCTAATTTGGTTTCAGCGATCATGATGAGATTGGTCCAAAGGGTTAATGGCTGAAAAATGCTTATTTTTCTTTCTTT